ATAGACTCTAGAGCTGCATGTTTTTGGAGTCCCAGAATCTAAACGAGAAGAGGGTGAGCATATAATAAGCCTGGTATCAGATGCCAGGCTGAGACTACTTGTTCAACCTAAAAAACTAGCGAGGAATCACAGAGGATCTTTTTAGATTTAGATCTTTTTAGGTTTAGGGCGATGGGGCTCTTAATGAGCCCACCCGCTCGTCCATTTTACTATTACTACTACTAATGAATGAATAAAATGGTTTGGTAAAGTGTCAAAGTTATGTAAGTAATGTTAAAAATATTTTAAATGTTTTATTAATGCATTAAAAATAAAAATTCTTAAATAATTCATAACTATTTTAAATATGTAAGAAGTGTTTAAAAATGTAATTTGCAATTTTTAAAAATCCGAAAATGTTCAATACAATCTTAAAATTGTTTACAAAATCTTATCATTGCTATAAAAATCTAAAAATAGATTGCAGAAATACTTTTTACATATTTAAAATAAATATGAGTTATTTAAGAATTTTTTATTTTCAAAGCAATAATAAAATATTTGAAATATTTGTAACATTGCTTACATAATTTTGATACTTTTGAAATCATTTTATTCATTCGTTAAACAATATCAATATTTTATTAACAATTTTTATTGTTTCTAAGCAATTTGCAAATGTTTTAAACAATTTCTAAACTAAATAAATAAATTGATTATTTTCAACAATTTATGACAAATAATTAAATTAAATTAAAACAAAGCAGAAAAACGCTTTGACACGATGCATGTGTCTGAAATGCTTCGCGCCGTCGTGCCGATCCTGACCGCACGAATTTTACGTATTCACCCATTCGTTAACTTCAGTTGCTTGCAATTTAAATTCTGCTCATCGGATTGCTTTTTGGCAAAGAACTTTTTATTTTAGAATTTTATGGAGAACATGTTGGTAACTTGCAGTACGTCAGTTCTGAGATACTCTGTATATAGGGTGTTTTGTATAACTTGATCATTTAAAATATTCTTGTTTGTTTTTGACAATACGGAAAATAATTTGATTCAAAGTGACACATATTATAATGAGCAAACAACTTTTTCACCGTCATCATATTTTTTGAGATTTCAAGGCTGTCGCGATTTTTTTAAGTAGAATGACATATTTTCATTAATGTAGTAATGTACTTCATAAAAAAACAAATTCAATCATATATGACATGTTATTCTTCAAATATCTTGAATATAAAAGTATCATAATTATGGAAAAAAGAAAACTGAACTTAAGAAAACTTAAGCGTTTTCAATAAAGATATTTATTTACTTTAATTTGGAAGATGTTCAAAATGACAACCATCATGATGGAATCACATTTTAATATGGCTCAATAAATTTCTCTTAATGGTATTTGTAATTCGTTTCTTAATGTATATGGTATGTACAAATCATGGTCAATTAAATAAATATAATATGCATTATTGGGCTGCTGACAATCCATATTGACTTCAACAAGTACAATATCAATACTTATGGAAATGTCTAGTGTGGCATCATTAGAAATCGTTATTGGTCCATTTTTTGGGAAGGAAATTTAAATGGACAAAAATGTGCAAATTTTTAAAAAAATAAATTATAAAATATTATTAGACAAAGTTCCATTGAGGCATCGTAAAAGTAGTTGCAGCATGGTGATTGTCCGACACATAATGTACTTATCGCCATGTGCTCTTAATAGAATGTTTCTCGATGGATTTGACGTGGTGGAAGAATATGTTGGCCGGCTGATCGCCAGATCTTACGCCATTTAATCTTTTTTGACTTTAGGGACACTTAAAAAATAAAGTTAATCAAGATGATCAATAATTAATATTTGTGATATTCCTACCGAAAAACATGCAAGAAAGAATTCAACATGCATGTATTGTCATCACCCAGAAATCATTAAAAGTGCGAAACAATCATTTATTTATTGCACTCAAAAATGTATGGAAATTAATGGTAATTATTTTGAACATCTTTCAAACTGAAGTAAATAAAT